AGTCAAAAAGCGATTTCAGAAATTCTCGCTACAATTCGCCTTTCAGGGAAAAAAAAAATCTTTCGAAAGACACTTTACATGCAAGGTGCCACTGCTCATGCAACAGCTTTCTGCAATTTCTCAATTTGACAGTCTTTTGAAATATACTGCATTGCTCGGTCTAAGAAGGCAATATAACCTCTGCTATTTCCACGCTTAAAATAAAAAATAGCGCTTTTAGAAATAATGCCATGAACCACTTAACAGATCACCCAGCACGGCAACCGCGTATTTGTAATTGCATTTGAGAAAGAAAATAATAGTTGGTAACGTCATTTTTTATTAGGTTGTTTCATTCACACAGATTGTTTCATTCCGTTTCATTCACATGGCGGCGAAAAAATTACGCACTGCACAAAAAAAATAAAAATATTTTTTATCGCACACCGTCCTGGGTGATCTTTATTCGTTCGTTCATGAAATAATGCTGCCAATTTTTGTTCTCTTTGAGCCATGAAAGAGAATACGCTATCAATGAAACGATAGTGGCGATAGTATTAAAACTATCGATAGTTATTTCAAGTGATCAGACTATCGATACTATCGATAGTATCGGCGATAGTTTGACAGCTCTAATATGTACATATGTATATATGAGCCTTATGCATTTATATTGTATTGTATATACATACATACATATAGGGCGATTCAAGAGTGATGCAGATCTTTGACAGCAATTATTTGTTATATGTTAATGTTTATTTTCATCACACTGTTTAGGGGAGCGCGGACATCAATAAAATAAGTGAGTCTCTACACAATTTTATTATTCAAATAAGTCTAGAGGCAACAAACCGAGGTATTGAGCCAACATATGTTGGACCCACCTCAAAGAACGTTCTAGATATAACACTTTTAACAAATAAACTGATACGGCTAGATAATTGGACGTTGTTAGATAAACCATCATTCTGTGATCATAAATACATAGAATTTAATATTGCTTTCCCCCAAATCCCAAAATAACAACCCCGAGGAAACCAATAAATACAAACTGGGATCTCTATAGAAAGATTGAGCTAAAAGAACCCAACACGCACGCTGAAATAGAAAAGAACGTGGTGTTAATCACTACGGCGCTCAGCAAAGCAAACAAAATTTCATGCCCTCCAGTGCGTACTATACGCAAATCCAAGCCGCTGTGGTTCAACCGGGAGCTTGGACAGCACAGGCGCGAAGTACGTGAGCTCTTCAAGCTGCGTAAGGCAGCCGACAATGAGTTGTGATGGGAGGAGTACAAAGATTTCTTAAAAAGCTACAAAAAATATCCAAGAAGCAATCGTGGAAGGACCATTCTAGGTAGTCTTCAAGCAAACAACGTGGAACCTGCTATTATCCATGGATAAAAAACCTTTTAGGCTGTAGACGAATTAGAGCAGAATGGGGGTAAAGCCAGGCTAATTAAACAGTCGGTAAAGGGCACACCACAATAAAAATCTTTAGGCGGTATTGTTTGCATTGCAGTAATATCAATTA